GTGTGTGTGTGTGTGTGTGTGTGTACATTTATATATATATACAGTGTGTATTAATATTAATATTTTTATTTTTTTTACCGATTCAGAACTGAACCGAATCATCCTAATTATGGCTCGATTTGAAGCCATTGAATCATTGATCGAATTCAATTCAATTCAATTCTGATTTCGAACAAATTCGATTTAGGTTCAAACTAAATCGGGCTACTGAGAGGACAAAACTCTAATGCTAACTTACGGACGTATCATTTGCTCCTATTAGTGGCCAACACTGCTAGTAGAGTTTTCTAAACTCAATTTTTTTCGAAGAAAAATATTTTTTTTTTTGACAGTTTTGTAGCCACCATTACTGAAGGTTGCATCCTTCAGCACAACCTTTGAGACTAATAAACTCTTGATTCAACCACAATTGATATAACAAAATGTAATCTTGTTTAAGTGCTTCTGTTTTTTGAAATGTTTTAGGACTTTGTTGTCTGAATACAACTATCATTCTAAAGTTTTGTATCATAGCATACAACTTTTGTTCATAAGTAGGATCACTTTTGGTATGCTTCACTCAGCTTCTCACTCAAAAAAAAAAAAATACAATTGGTCTTTTTTTCCTATAAAATCACTGCTCCAATCCCAATTCCACTTGTATCACATTCTAATTCAAAAGACTTTTCAAAGTTGTGTAATGCAAGCGTTGGTACAGTAGTCAACTTATCTAAACAAAGCTTTTCTTAGTAGCCTCAGTCCATAATACTACTGTAGAAAATAACAAGACCCTCACTTCTATAATAGTCTTCAGGATAGGTTATTCTCAAATAGCATGAATCTTTTCTTCATTTGTATAAATCCCACACACAATGAACCCATGAAATATTAGTTGATTTGTTAGGAAGTCACACTTCTTCAAATTGACATATAACTTATCTTATAAAATAGTTAGGATTTATCGTAAATGATCCATATGTTCTTCTCTATTGCAACTCTAGATCAGAATGTCATCAAAATATACTACTATAAATTTCACGATGAATGATTTAGGTACCTGATTCATAGGCCTCATGAATGTACTTGGTACATTAAAAAATCCAAATGATATAACTAACTATTCATATAAGTCTCCTGAATACAGTCTTTCATTCATCTTTAGTCTTTATACGAATTTGATGATATTTATCATGAAGATTAATCTTTAAAAATATCTTGATGTCTTGTAGTTAATCTAACATATCTTCTAGTTGAGATATGGGAAAGTAACACATGATCGTGATTTTGTTGATGGCTCTACTATCTATACACATCCTCTAGTTTTCATCTTTGTTGGATATAAATGGAGCCGGGACAACACATGGGCTTATACTTTCTTGCATATGTTCCTTCCGCATCAACTCTTCTACCTTGTCCCTTAGTATCTTATTCTCTTTTGGGTTTATCTAGTAATGAGGTAAATTTAGTAAACTTGCTCCTGGAGCCAAATTAATCTGGTGCTGAATATCTCTCATGGGTAAAAGTCCATCTGGTAACTTTTTAGGGGTGATCTCTTTGAATTCTTCCAATATCGATCTTAGTTCGTTTGGAATCTTTGCTTCAGGTAACTCTTCTCCCTTCACAATAAAAGCATAGCATACTCTTGTTTCTTTAAAACTGATAGTGAATTCCTGCACAAAGTTAGAAATAGATAAGAAATACTTCTCCTCCACTCTAGAAGTGTTGGATTCATTTCTTTTTTTGTTAGTCGGTAGAATGATAATATTCTTTCAATTCCACTAGAATACATAGACATTCTTTCTTTCAAGATGAGTTGCATTCACATCATATTACCATGACCTTTTAAGTAGAATATAGCATGCATCTATATCAACTACCTGACATATAACTTTTTCGGCCTTTTAAGGATAATATAACACGCATCTATGTCAACTACTTGACATATAACTTTTTTCTTGTATTTTTTCCTAATTAAAAGAGGAACTTTACATATCTCAGTTATAGTGATAGTTGAACCTTCTTTAATCCATCATAGCTTGTATGGTGTTGGATGAGCTTCCGTTTGTCATTTGAAGTGCATTATCGGTGATTTGGATATAATGTTATCATAGCTTCCATTGTCTATGATCAATGCATAAACTTTGTTATTAACGCTACACCAAGAATGAAAGATTTTCTTACGCAGAGATGGATCTTCTTGCCTTGGGGTGAGTAATAATCTTATTATAACATATACAACGTGTTCCCCTTCTCCCTTTGCTATTTCAACATTATTAATATCATCAATCGCAATCGCCTTGGGCATCTCCTTCTTCAAAGTTATCTTTGTAATATGCAAGATTGATAGTTTTATGGGTACGACACTTATTAGAACGATCACAAGGCTTTCCACATTTGAAACATTTCTCAACCAAGGGTCAAGCATATGCCTTGTTTGTGGTTGTTGAGATATACTTAGCTTGCCTTATTGCTCATTTGATATTTGTGTCTCGATTTGTAAGTTGTATTGACTCAGTCACAACTTATTTCTCTTTGTTAAAAATAGGTCATGTTGTCAGAGAAAAGAATCATCGAGTAACAATTAGAGGTCAAATCAATAATATTTCAGCTTTTAATACCATATTGTGAGCTTCATCTATTGTCTATATCAGAGTTAAAGGTATTTTTATCTTTAATTATAAATTTCAGTCCATTGATGTACCTTGTTGTCTATTGGTCTTCTTACTATGATAAATTACATCTAGTTGAAAGATGTAAGAATTCTCCAGTATACTTAGTGACAGATTGAGTGCCTTGGTGCAGTTATGGTATTGTTGGAATAATAGTTATTCATAGTCTATACTAGTGTATTTCCTTGAGAAGTTATTATATCTTTAGCCATGTCTATACCCCTGTATTTCCTTGTCTTCTTTTATTATTCTGTAATGTATCCCACCAAGCTATTATATATCTTTTCAACTTGTAAGCAACAAGCTTGACTTATTTATGATCAAGAGCATCCATCACCTCCAATAAGTCATCTACTTCATAACTCCAATCAATAAAATTTTTAATGCTGAGGTGGTCATTAAAATTGAGAAGGTATGCTTTAGACAATAATCCTTGAGTAGACTATTTCGTTTGGGTGGTGGTTAATGTCTTTCGTATCTTTCACTATCATCTTCTGAGTCATCATCATATATTGTTGGTTGTTGTGAGTAAATAGTACCATGTCAATTGAAGTGTCGAGATTGAATTACACCTGCACTTCTTCTTTAGTTGGTTATGTGAAAGTCCATAATTTCTTTTTCTTTGTTTAACTCATCTTTATAGGTTGATTGACTATATTAGATTGCAAGTTCATGTTGATTATTAGGTTAACCATTAGTATCAACTTTGGCACGGTAAATCCTACTATTATCACAAACCCTGTTAGCACCTAAACCTAAGTTAGTGAACATGTTTCGAATCTCTTCGAGTTCTCAAGTCATTCTCGCTTCTTATGCTTCTAACGTCACCCATATGATTGGCACTCCTCAATTATTATTATTATAGTTGTTACTACTTTTATCACGAAGGTCGTTATCATTGAAATTGTCGTTGTTATTGCCAAAAGCAACGAGAGTGGTAAAGAAAGCCCTACTATTGGACGATATAGCATGACACATCTAGAAGCATAAATAAAAACATTCATTGCCTTCTTACTTGAGTGAGCGGGTGCGTTAAGAGTTGAGTTGAGCTGCACCATTACGCGTTAGTGAGTTCTTCCTGAGGTCAAGGTCAAATCTTATGGTACCTGACTTTAAACTTAATATTTATAATGGATCTTATGGTACACAAGATCCTAAATAGTGAATGTAGAGCATACTTCTTAATTTCTTAACTATAAACCTATTATATTAACATCAAAAGTAAAACTTTGATAGTGAAATAAAATTAAAAAAATACTACTTGAAAGGATTCTAGCAAATTGAACTTATAAGCGTGGATGAAAACAATCAACTCATTATAATAGAAAACATCTTGAAAACTAGTTAACTAATAACGTGAGATAAATTTAGACCTTAAAAATTAGCTAGTAATATGGGATAAAAAAATAAAAATAATGAATAATTTTAAGATTTTTAAAAATAATATTCTTCTACTCGTTCCCTATTACAGATAAGCTGAAAAAGATTCACAGACTCTGTTCCGGTGGCAAAAAGCTTCAGATAACAAAATGCTACCAATTGCTAAAACTGCAGGTTAAACAGATTCAAAAGGGGAAGCAGTCTTGTGTTGGTGGAGTGATCGAGATCGGATCTTTTTAAATGGGAAATGGATCTTTGTTAGAAGGCCCGAAGATCTTCTAAGCTGAAGATAAAAAGGGACGTGAAAACACAGAGGTAAAGAGGGTTAATTCTAAAACAAGATTTTTTTTAAAAAAATATTATTATTTAATTTTATATTTTGATATTAAACTTTTTTTTATAAAATAATAACATATTATTTATCTAATTATGTTATATAAAAGGGTTGGTGCATGAGAACTAAATAACACACCAGTCACTTGACAGCCACCGCGTCGCCGTGAATTGGAAACAAAAATATTGGAAATTTTGGACACTAACAAAGAATCAAAAGAACACTAACAAAGAAACAAAAATACTGAAAAGTTGGAAATCCGATAATTTTTACATTTAGATGATCAAATATTGGAAATTTTGTTCACTTAAGCAAGTGAATTTATTGACATTTTCATTAACAAATTCAATAACCAAGAAAAAAAATGATACAAATTTACAATTGCCTTGAGATTTAACGAAATCAACAAGAAAATGACAGTTGACTTTTTGAAAGCACATATGGTCGTTCTAATCTTCTATATTTGCATGACATGAAGTTGAATAAGATGAATTTATTTGCAGATACTCTCTTGTTGGTTTCAAGTTTTTAACTACCTTCATTTGATTGAATCTCCACGGCAGACAAGCTTGAGTGAAGCGTTCTCTTCCTGGCTGCTGGCGATGGCAAAATACGCCAAAGTGGACGACCAGAGTCTTTCCGAACTCTGGCTTCATCTCCGATAACATCAAGCTCCTTGATTACTGATATCTCCCTTGATGCTGCTTCATTCTCGTCTACTGATGCTAGACTCGGAGATGCAAACCAGATAAATCCATTGGCAGATGGTGCATCACTACTTGGTGGAACATTTCTTTCTGCTGGCAAAGATTTGCTGTTAAGTCGAGCTTCTGTTTGCATAAGATTAGGCATAGCACAAGCAGGGAATGGCAAATGTGATTTTCAAACTAGAAAAAGGCTTATAAATGTCAGCGTCTTGTTTACCTGCAATGTAGGGAGCCTCATCAAGTGCAGAATTTGAGTGTGACTTCTCCGTTTGTGTTGGACTAGAATCATAAAGAGGTTCCACAACATGACCATCATGAACATGATCTGCTTTCACATTCCCGGTGTCAGAATCTGTAGCAACTGATTTAGCTGAAACCATGGAGTCCTTCGAGGAACCACTAGTTATTTGTTCCTGGTTAGATATTTGTTCGTGAGTGCTTATTCTGGAGGTATTCTTTTCTGCTTCCGATGAAGAAGTGGAGCTCGACTCGCAATCCTCCTTGGTCACTTCAGACCTCACAGCATATGAAATGGGTGACCTTGATTCTGACCCTTCCTTGGTGTTATATTCGACAGCTCCAATATTTTCAGTGGCTTGATGAGTTTGTTCCATCATTATGCTATGATTCAAATTATTTGTATGATCATCATTCATCTTCATCTGACTCTCTACTTGACTGTCATTTTCAGCAGATCCTGCACTATTCGTAATGGGAGATCCAGTCAATCGATGCAAGTCTTTTGGATGTTCTTGATCGGTAACCGAAGAAACTGTATCAGATTTTAAAGTAGATTTCACATTTGAATCACTAATTTCTCTTAATTTTCTCTGTGGATCAGCAAAATCCATCTCCTCTGCACCAAAATAAGGCATAAACCTTGAAGAACGTTTCTCTTGATTGAAGTCACTAAAGAATGAAGCACCAACGGTGAAGCTTTCATGCCTTCTCAACGGTATATCATGTTGTGGAACTGCAACAAATTCTTTATGGCTCGAATTCTCCTCATCATCCACCTGCTCGTAAGGAAGATCAAATGGATTTCGTCTTGGTAGGAGAACAGAAGGAGCTGAACCTGGAACAGATTCATCTAAAACATCAGGGAGATCGAACGGGTTCCTTCTTGGTGCATTAACTGATGGAAGATGACCGTGAGATTGCAATATCTCATCCATATTATCATCCAAGTCTATTAGATTTTTTTCCATTGCCTTGCTAGCTTTTCGTTTGGCAATTAAAATCTCTAACCGAAGATTCCTTTCGAGTTCAGTGTTACCCAGCTCCATGAGAGTCCTCTGATCATCTGCAGTCCATGTTACAGCAGCTTTATTTCCATCATCTGTCTCCTCCTGTGCCTCTTCATCATCATCGTCATCCTGAGTTTCTGCTTCCTCCTCCCCGCTGCCATCTTCCGATACATGGTTCTGTGAGAATGATACAGAACCATCATCAGCATTGTCCTTGGAAACCAGGTCAGCTTGAGAAGTTTCAGAGTCTAAAAGCAGATCAAGTTCATCAAGAACAGAGACACCATTTGTCGCATGAGAGTTAGACATCTCTTTCCCGTTAGATTTGGAATCTGAAGAATCATCCCGGTGGTCGTCATGCCATTGTGAATCCAAACATGGATCAGAAGGGTCCAATTTAGTTCTATTTGCTTTTGCACTGAGAACTGTGAAACTCAAAGCAATTACACGACCAATATGTTCTTTCACATTCTGCAAACCTTCAGCTAGATTTCCTATGTGATATCCTTTTTCTTCAATGAAGTTACTCTTACTGTGATCTTCCTCAACAAAAGAATTAGAATCGACAGAAGTCGCATCCATTTGATTGACCTCATCTTCCTTAACAGCTCTGCTAGCTGCACTAAGTCTTCTATCACCCGAAGCAATTGTTTTGATGGTCGTTCTCTTAGTTGCTTTTCCTCTTCTTCCTCCCAGATGAGCCTCCACTTTGAAGTTTTCCTCATTCTTGCACCCAAGATCATTTGCAACTGGCTCAATCTTCAGCGACGAACTCGTTTGAGTCATATTAATATGATCTTTTTTGTTCTCAGGAACATTCGGTTCACCATAACTCAGAAAGATTCCAAGAAGGAGAGTTGTGCAAGCAATGACAGGGGAAGAATTTAAAAGAAGAGAAAATAGAGAAGGAAAAAGCTTGTACACTATAAACAGGAAGCATACTACACCAACAAAGAATGGATGATAACAAGCAGATATCCAACTTGTTCTCCTGGAGCGCATTGGTGAGATATTTGCTTATTTAGCTACAAGGGCATGCTACCCTCAATCGTTAAATCTTGATTTCCTTCGAGATTCTGTTGGCCAGGAAGAAAAAATGTCATATCTGACACTAAACTCAAAACCATGAAAAGGGGATGAGATGCAGTAGTAAGGCAAACCCAATGGTAAAAGTTATCGAGTAGTGAAAGGAATGCACTCAGAATGGCTACAGAAACACACATTTAGGAACATCACTTCTTCAAAAGATCATTCAGGGGTATAACCCTACCGGAGTAGATAAATCTAATGTATGCACTTTTGCACACAAGACACGAATCTTTCTTTTCATCTAATCATCTTCATTTTACCGAGTCATGGTTCAGCTAAACTTATTTTACAATTTGAAATTACATGGGAAAGAAGCCAAAATCTTTTTACCTAATAAATGACAAAACTAAAAAATGCAAGATCTTTTTCATTTTCCTTCCTAGTTCTATAAACTCGGTAAGAATTCAAAACCACCAATGTTGCATATAACCACATCAACCTCCACGCTTCTCATGAACACATCAGAGTATGCACACACTAAAGAGAAAAAGACATCAAAACCAATACAATCATCAGATGTTGAGAAGGTGTTCGTCTTTCTAATTAGGTTTCAAATAGTAATATGCAAAGCAATTGCATCAGGTTCATTATGTCATTACAACCTAGAATAATACTTGCTAGAAAAACTATAGGATGGCTCCAATCCATAAAGAGATCTAATGCTAGGTTTCTTAAGAAACAAAAAATACGTCATGGCTATTGGTTATGAAGGGGTTTAACGCCGCGTCTTGCAGGAAAGCAGAGTCTCGACTAAGACACTAATTGGATGTCAAGAACAACAGAAAGATAATTACCAAAGCAAAGAGACGGATTGCCTGCTCGAAAACCTTTTACTTGGAAAGAGGGGAACAGAATGTGACAAGCTACAGATCGTTCCACAAATACTTCTCTCCAAACAGAAATAGGAAGAAAAGAAATGAAAGGATCCGTATTCAAATATTTACTCCAAATGCCCAAAGAACAATGAGAAAGCCTATGCTAACATCAGATCTGTGCAATGTAACATTCCCTGAGGAATCATTCCGTTTCCTAAGCTATCACCGAATAACGAAATACGAAAGAACAATCATTTCTCTTCCAAAAGAAATATCCGACAAAATCGAACTTGCATACCTTTGGAATCCAACTCCGCTTCCCCCCTCTATTATTTTCCCAATAATGATAAACAATTGGGAGAAGAAACGACACAGAGAGAGAGAGAGAGTCCGCAGCTGTATCCGAAACGAGCACGTCAAAGTTTGAGCTGTAGGGGCCAATTTAAGTAGCGGTGAGGAGAACAGGAGAGTCTGTGGGACCATCCACCGACCATGTGTCGACGTACAGTTGGTTCAAGACTGTGGTCGCTGGTTCGAAGATGGCACGGTATTTACCTTTTCGTCTCCGTCCACACCGCATCATGCGTCCGAGCTCGTACGGACCTTCGCCCATTCACGCACGCGCTAGGATTTCCTATCTGAGACCAGGCAGGATTCCCACGAGCTCAGTTAAGGAGATTTTTGCATGTTGGTCCCCGATATCTCTCTTTTTGCGTAGAGGTCTGTCATTCCGGGTTCGGATCTTAAGCCTCGTATATGCAAATTAAACCTGAATCAGGAAATTAATGGTTTCGGATCCACCAAAAACAAAGCACCCAACAACAGCTTTGCATTAAATGTTGACTTCCAGTCATACAATATTAGGGGGGAGCTACAAAGATTAATCCCATGATGGAGCTAAAGCATCAGAAATGCATTTAAGACCATGAATGTAGAAGTGTATTCCCGAATACATACATTCCATAAGACTTCCAATGGCTGATGAACCCTCCCAGGAAGCAGTCCCAGCTTCTTCATCAGTCAAACATAGACCTTGTTTCATCTAAAACTATGAACTGACCAAAACTGGCCAAATGGGTCGCACATCCTTGTGCTTGAAGTTGCCGCATACCAGAAGACATCCGAGTGGTGGCTGAATTCGGTGCAAGTAAATGTTGACTCACCTGTAGCACTGCAAAAACCAAATAATACATGTTACAATTATGATCCGATTGCTCTCACAGGATATAATTTGATCTGTAATGTCAAATGATGACTTCAAAGCAGAGAAGACAAACAGCCTGTGCACAAGAGAAAAATAGTGACAAGTGATGTTCATTTACTATAAGACGATACTATCGGATTCTTATGACACTCCTCTGTGACATATCAGTCATTATACGATTGCTATTACCATAACTAAATCTTGGTGAATGGATAATCTTGGATGAAGTATGGTCTTCACATTCCATTGGGTCGATGCAAAATCCATTTTTAGAGCAAAAAAGACCACAGAAGCACCCGAGCAAGTATTAGGAACAATTATGGAATTTACTGTCATCCATTTTTTATGAATCAGTAATAAAATCAGCAATATACAGGTATAATACAATGGTAAATTGGTAATACACAATTTTGATTTCAGACTGATTTCAGGCAACAGGAAATACCTATTTCAGCACAATTTCTTTATGAGCTTCAAATGAGAGCATCACATTCCATGCAAGCGCTGCAATGTCTGCAGCTAGAACCTGGGAAGAAGCAAATTTAAAATAAACAAAGAAAGCGAAAGAAAATTACATATTCATGGGAATAAAAAAGTGCTATGTCACATTTGATAAGTTCCAGTTAACACTGGATTTATGGAATTGTCAAGTTAATGGAAGATATTTATCCTAATATAGTGACACGCGAAGTCAAAAGTGGATTTATTGGCTGCTTTAGACAAGTCACAACTTCTTTCAGGTGTTTAAGAATTACATAGCCGAGAGAGGGATTTATCACACCTGAAACTTTTGAGGAACAAACTGGAAGTTAAGGAACTGAAATGGTATCCACAATTGCCAGTTTGCTAGCACTACTGAAAACCACTCCTACAAACATCATACTCATAAAGGCATGGGAAAGTGTATGATTTAAAATTATACATTTTCTTCTAGCATAGGAAAAATAAATCCTCACCTGTTCAAGCTTATGATTTATTTGATATGGCCTTCCCTCTAAGGCAACAACTGAACTAAGGAAAACTCCTAAGAAGATGGGGGAGAAAATCAACCGTACTAGAGTGATGGTGCCACATTAAGAACAGAGCATAAGTGAAGGTGCCAAAAAGCAAGACAAAAAGGATTATCATAAACTTAATAGAACTTATCAAGATGAAATATAAAATGCACATAACAAAAGGTGTAAGAACGCACTAATATTGCAGGAAGGTGCAGGAAGGTTCGATGCAAGTTTAATGGATCTCATATAAATATACAAAAAATATATATCTGGTCAAGCAGAAGCCGTAAAAATGCACCCGATGCTCCAGGAAAAGTCAACAATTTACTCAGATACAAGTACCTGCATTCAATTAGTGAAATGAATGGCATAAAAGGGCATAACCATGTTAAAAAAATTGCAACAAGTTATACCAACTTCATGCACACACTCCTTTGCTGACAGAAATAGAGGGCAGACTTATCCTGGGATTCACCCATACCAACCAAACACTTGGCGAAGCAACTCCCAAGGATTTAAACATAAAACCTCATCCAGAGGAAGAGCACAGATCATTAAGTAAACAATATGACAGAGAAATGCATAAATTTTATGTCATTACCAAAAATGCAATGTGGGACACACTAATGAAAGTCCGAGGAATGTGAACACAAATGTCCGCCTCAAATCCAACTTTGACACTTGATCAATCAAAAGCTGGCAAAATACAACAATTGATATTAAGTATAGAAGCAAGAGAAATGCAGTAATATTCAGTGAGAATTCATTAGAGCTCTCATAAACAAACCTAAAAGAAATAATAAAAAAAGATTGAAGCATCGGTAAGCATTTTCATGTCTCTTTGGACACTATCACTATGCGTCTGATTTTATATGATTCTTTGTCTGACTTGTCTGGTTATTAACTTAATAAATAGTTTTCTTCTTCTTTTTCTTCAATTCCTGCTTCCTTTTATTCCTCTTCCTCTTCCTCTTCTTCTTTCTCTTAGTCTTTGCCTTCCTCTTTTTCATCCAGTTACTATTTTAAAAAAATGAATAACAGAGAGTTCCTTTAGATGTTTCCTTGTTCTCTAAATCTGTCTTAACTGAATTACAGATCAACCAATCTATCGAGTACTACATTCTGCTGCCAGTCTACCCTACCAGGACTCAGAAAGAGAGAGAGAGAGAGAGAGAGAGAAAGAAAGAGGAGGGTGTTGTGTTGGAGCAGAGGTGGATGATAAGTTCCACCTTAAGTTTGCTCTAGGAGGCACTGATGCAGGCATAGACCTTAAGCACAGTTACTCATCAAGTTTTTTGCCTCCTCCTGGCCCCCTATCTCCTCTGCCTTCTCCAAGTTCAAACTTATCAAGTTTGTTGCAGCTGACCACCCAGTTATTAATGGCTTTCAAATTCTCACCCAGTCTAGCTCCACAAATCGTTTGCTCATTCAAAACATGTTTATCTTATATACATGCTTCTTCTTGAACTCAGCTGAAAAAGTGTTTGACTAGAGTCAGGCAAGACGGCCTCCCTGTTGTTTGTTTTAAAACACAAACCATAACAAATGAACAAGAGTTGTTATCAGAAGACAATCTCAAGAACAGTTCTTAAGGATTGGTTCCTGAAGACAAATCCAAACAAAGCCTTAACCTTCATTTTTGGACTTAGTCGATTGCTTGAAAAAATATTGTTTATAAAAAACATTGCTCTGGATCAAAGATTTCTCAATATGAGTCTGAATAAAGTAATATTATTCTGAAAACATGTCAAAAGTATTTTGCTGCAATGTCTGTCATTATGTCTTTGTCTAAGAACATGTTCAATATTTTTAAAATTCATGAAGTTTCAAGTTATGGTTGATGACCTACCTCTCAAGTTCTCTATGTAAGTATTATAAGAAACATCACTAATTCTGGTGAAAAGTAGGCCAAACAAAGACAAAATAAAGTAATGCATCGTGCTTGAGAGTGTGTCTCATCCACATTTTCATCAAGATCTATAAGTCTAGCACATCTGAACCAGAAAAACATAGTTTAAAGTCGAAGCTACCAGAGTGACCAACAGATGACAAAAGGAACCAGGCATATCAAAGCTTTAGTAATCACTGGGTGCTTATCAAGTGCCATCAAGTACCTGAACGAAGTAATAGAAATTTGTTAATATTTTCTCCATCTAGTGAAAGAAGGTTCAGGAATCTAACACTACAACTCATATAGCTTCAAATTAAATCTTCTAACAAAGAACAGACTCGATCATGAACTCATCAGAGAACTGTCAGGACTTACATGCCAACTCACTGACCAAAATATAGTTAGAACATTTCTCCTTGGCAGACTTTGATTGGGTTTTAGCCATGAGCCAACAAGGATAAACTTCCAATATCTTGACTGATAGTATCACCATGTTCACAGTGGTGAATAGCGCATTATCAGTGGTGTGGTTAAGACATCTCAGATGCATCCAAAGGTCAGCCTAGTGGTTCGGAAACATCTAAAAGAACACAGGGAAGATAAATTGAAGAGAAAAGGCCAGCTAAAAGAAATTCACATATGAGCTTCTCCATTCAAAGGTGAGAATTTGACAATGGAAAAGCATCACTAAATATCCTCCACTCTACAATTCTGACCATGATCCGCAATGTGCCTAGGTTAGTGGAAATTGCTGTATCCTCACCACAGTCTCCTTCCTATCCATTCAACAAGAATTTGGCTTCCTCCCGAGTCTGCCACTAAAAGGCGTCCTGATTAATGTAATACATTGAGAATTCATCAAAATTACTGGATATTTCCACGCAAAAAAAATTACTCAATTTTGTTTTCTTCTTCATGGGCATTATTTCGAAACCGAAGGCTGAATAAAATACATAAACACGTGATGAGACTAAGCAATGTTGCAACAATCTAAACAAGATCAAAGTGCTCCAAAACAAGATTTTTAAAGACCATAAAGAACCCTAACTTCCTTACCATGACAAGAAGAACCTATCATTCCCATCATCGATCTCATGCCCACCTCCATCGTAGGAGCCCCCATCGCCCCGCCCACCGTACCCACCATCACGGCCAACGGAGCTATCAGAACCATCGTCTGAAGCGGCTTGATACCGCGCACGGAATCGAGACCCTTTGGCCCAACAAAGTTTTTTTCCAGCAACTTAGATTATTATTATTATTATTATTATTATTATTATTATTATTATTCCGGGCTAAACGCCATGTTGGTGTTAACGATGCAAGGAGACAGAAGATAATATAAGAAAATATTTACGAAAAGCAATAAAAAAGATTTGAATGCTCCTACTTTGTCTAATAATATTATTATTATAATTAAAGCTCAAGAAATATTAATACAGCTGACCCCAAACAGTTGGAACATTAGTTGGTTATATTTATTCTTTTGATATGTATCATGCAGATATGTTTGACAATTATGCAATCAGCAAATTATCACACTTCCAACTTCTCTCTCTCTCTCTCTCCCCTATCATCTATCACTTTGAGGCCATTTTGAGTTCAATAGTATTAGACGGTTGGTTGTTCCACAAATCTAAGTGATTGTTGTTGGATCACAATACATCCTCGCTTGATCATGGTTGCCAAAGCCTGTTGGCTTTCAACAATACAATAACTTCTAAAAGCTTTTCTGCAAGCACCTTCAGCTTCTCAGTCAGCAAACTGACGGCTACAAAAAAAAATGCTGGTCTTGGGAATGATTTGTAGACAGTGTTTCATATTTAGCAGATCCTTTGTGCATGGAAGTGTTTTCCCTCAAATATTTCAGAGGATCAAGAAATAATCAACCAAAGGGCTTTTGTGTCCGAACATCTACATTTGTGGAGGCAAGGATGAACTACGTAGAAAATGACCAACTACAGTAGAATCACCAATTCTAAAGTGACGTTACATAAAATTCATGCAAAGTTTAACAGCCACGGCCCAAATGATCCAGAAGGGAATTGAGATTTTTTTTGTCACCAATTCCTGATCAACCCTAATGTCTGACAAATATGATGAGGCAGATCATCCGAGTGCAAACTGTAGATATTAAGCATGTTCTTGGTGTCCCTAATCTGCATCCATCTCCTCCAGTGCAGCTTTTGCAGCTGCCTTGGCTTCCTCCAAGAGATCATCTGGAACCTGTGATAGGAAAAATAATTTGTACAACTTGTTAAATGATAAAGATTCACCAATGTCTAATATCTTTTGTGTCAATTAAAGAAGGGAAGATAACAGTAATCTCTTAAAATTTGTAATCGATTCTGCTGCATGTGGCACTTCTCATGTAATAAAAGTATCATGGGAAAAAATATAATAACGAGGGGAAGAAAAAGAAACTGCAAGGATATGACAGCTTAAAAGTTGTCTACCAGTAAAAAAGAACCGGAAACTGCAAGTAAGAACTTTTTTTTTAGGAACCGCAATCGGAGATTTTCTCAGGCTATTTGGTGTCCATACCATTGGATTGTTCAAAGAACACCACAAGTTGGATTTTCAATATTTTTCTGAATAAATGCAAACAAGGATTTTCACAAAGTAGGAAATCGACTATAAGATCAAGTACAAAGAAGGAACCCTGAATTATATTAGTTTAAGATAACATGAAAAGAAGATGGTTCAGTACACAGGATTCTCATTTATACAAGTCTTAGCTAGGCTTAACACTTTTAACTTAAGTCTTCAGCTATGTTCATAACCCAAACACCAGTTCCTAGGTCCTCAAGACACCCACTTGATGTAACATGACTAAGGCCTGATCGAGAATTTGTGGTTGTACACAAGAAATGTCAAACAAAGACTGAAATACCAGAATTCAGGATTTTTTTTTTACGGAATATAAATGATAGCAATCGACCAATAAACCCAACCTGGAGTCAGGAAAGAAATTTGGATAAGATAGAAATGAAAATGCAATCTACAATAGGGAATTATTGTTACTGAAGAAATTATTATAATGATATTACCTGGATCAACTTTGCTGGTAGTACCATAATTCATGTTTTTTTAGACAACACAAATAAATTATTGAATCTCGGATTTTGATGATGAAACCAATTGATAGTATTTATGATTTGATCTGCGTTTTGAGTGACGCAGGATGCTTCGATCAGGGAGAGACAATTAAAGTAGGAAGAATCATGTTGGGACAGAGGAAAACATGTCAGAAGATTGGACGTTAGGCCGGAGGATCGACCGACGTATCGAGAGAGGCTTCGGGCCATGGATTC